TAGTTATTAGCCGCCCAGGCGAAAGCCAGATAGACTTAATGTAAAACTACCGAGTCATTTCTATTATATTCTCGATACGCATATTTTCGCACTCTTAAAAGAATCCTCAGCAATGAGTGTAAGAGTGGGGGAAGTAGCTGGAGAATTTCTATCACGGATAGCCACCCAAATATCCCCTATTCATCATAACACGCAGATCCAGACCCAAATCCACACCCCAAAACCATATCTGTACTAGCTGCAATCCTGTAATTTAATTTCATGAAAGATAATTGAAGTTCTAAACTCTTTGTCATCAACGTTGGCAATTCGTACTCGAAGTGCAAGAATAAAAGATGACCTTGGCTATATCGGGAGCATTAATTCTGGTGTTCATCATGGCACCAACAGCACTCTCTAATCGTTTCATCAACATAGTTGCTGCTGCTCGTATGTCACTTTTTGAATATATCTCATACAACTCAGCGAAAGGATTTCTTATTCTAATTTATTCAAAGACTCAGCGGTTGGCAATGAAGAGAACATAGTTACACAAAACACGGGATCTGGAAAAATTGGCAATTACGTGTTGATCCCAAATGCTTATTTGATTGAATTCGACCGAAATAAAGGCTCCAAAAACTTTCAGCAAACTATTGCTGAGTCCTTGGAAAGATTTCATGGAATTCCTCGATCGGCCATCACAATGCGTCAAATGATTTCCTCATCACTATTCATGGGAGCTTCATTCTCCGTGAATAGCGAACATTCTATGAAAATGATCGAATCAATTCCAGACGTTATTGCTATTTATCCGATTTACTCTGTTCCAGGTCCGACACCGTTGGAGGCGTACATCCCATCTGAAAGAAGCGACGATGGCAAACAAGACAATCTAGTTATTTCACATGATTTGACAGGTGTCGCTCGGATTCACGATCAGTTGAAAAACTTTGGCAAAGGTGTTCGAGTAAGAAGGCCATATATATGAACAAGACTCATTTTTCTTTCCATTAAAAAGCGAACATTGATATGACGTCAAAGGAGCTTTTTAATGAACGAAAGAAAAACTCAATTTTTTGGAGTTCTACGTTTGTTCTCCAATTCTTCAAGTAGTCGATCATAGATAATTGAAAAATAAATAGTCCTATAAAACCAACTATCAATCTAGATCTTTTTTGCTCATTCATATATTTTAGTTTATGTCATTCTTTGCCTCATGTAGGTAGCTGTTATTGATACTGGTATCGACTATCTGCATCCTGCTCTGGGAGGATGCTTTGGACCACAATGTAAAGTTGCATTTGGTTATGGTCAGTTGTTATTTCGAATCTTTGTATGATAAAGAGAAAGATTACTATTCAATTGTTTCTAGATTTTGTTGGTGATGACTTCAATCAATCGAACATCAATCCAATGCCGGACGAAGATCCACTCGATAATTGTTCTACGAGCGCCCATGGTATTTATCGATATTCAGCTTATTTTCTCAAATAATCTTATTCTTGTCTGTATACAAATATTAGGCACGCATGTTGCTGGAATTGTTGCTGCCAATGCAACAGAAATGACTCAAACAGGCTTTATTCCTTTTCAATCTTTTCTCGGTGTCGCTCCTCAAGCTACTCTTGGAGGATGTAAGTTTATTTGACTTCTGTTTGTAGCAACTCATCTATACATTTCATTCTTCGTTTCATAGACCGTATCTTCGGATGCGCTGGAGACACTGCTACCACAGGTATGTATGAATCAATACATTTTGCTAATATTGTCTGTGTTTCTATGGTATTCTTTATAAACGCACTTTTTTAGACGTCATGACTGCAGCAATATATCGAGCCTTCGACGATAAAGCCGATATAAGTAAGTTCTTGTGTTTAATGTATCTGTAATTATAAAATCAATAATGTTAACCACAAAATTTGAATCCAGAAATATAGATATTCTACGCTATTCGTTGATCCATGAGTATCTAAATATCTTTGCTACTCAAAGATTATATCCAATTATTGATCGCCAATTAAACTCACAATTGGCCCATAAATAGGCTTCTATGAGACTATAGAAAATCTAAAAGAATTCATCGTCATATCTTGAACGTCAAGAGTTATGATCGTTTTACTGCCATTTGTGAGACTCGATCAGAACTTTATAGAAAATTGAATTACAATATTTGGATCCTAAATTTTGCTTATAAAGAATTGTGAGGACTATTAAATTATCCTGAAAATGTCAGTTAAACAAGCGGATTCTTGTCGAGTTATTTAGTGGTGAAGACCAAGCGTTTCTGTACTCTTGCTTTGTATCAGATAATCATTGCTTAATCGTTGAATATGTTAAGAAAAATCCGTTTGTTTAAACTGGAACTTTTAGGATAATTTAGTAGACCGAAAAGTTCTTCATGGACAAAATTTCAAACCAAAATACTATAAATCAATTTTCTATAAATATCTGATCAAGTTCCACAAATGGCAATAAAACAAACGATGATAATTCTTGACATTCAAGGCATTGCAATGAATTCTTGTAGAGTTCTTCTAGTCTCGCCAAACCCTATTTATGAAGCAAAGAAGCTCGATTGACGTCCGACACTTGAGTATCTTCATTTGTAGAATATTGAATATCTGAATTCAGGTTTCAGGTTTCACGTATATGATTTGTCGTAAAATACATAACTAGATGATAAGTGAGCTATTGCTAATTCAATATTTACCATTCTTACAACTAAAGTCGAACTGTTGCAGTTCTAATTAGGGATGCAACGGTGACGATCATTCATCGTTTCACTGGTCCACTACGATAACTGTGAGTGCGATAAGTGGTTTTCACCGGTTCTTCATAAAGACAAACGTATTTTAAGGATATCAGGATATTTCATTAAAATTGAAAAATATAAATTGGGGTTGGCGAATCCAAATCTGCAATCAGTTTCACAAAATTCCATACTTGCTATTCGCATGTCGAAAAGGTTTTTATGTATAAAATATTCTCATTGTTTCAAAAAAACTATATTCGTTCAAATAATCAAGCTTGGATTCCCCAGAGTAGGGATGCACTTTCAAACTCAGCGTTAAGATCAGTAAATGAGTCAGGAACCTACAGTGAAGACCAGTTTTTTTAATATTATTCAGATGCCTTTCTATTAATAGAAGTTAGTGGTGCTAATGCACCTATCTTCACCGTAGGTGTTTCGTATTCTTACCAACTTCACCGTTTTCGAACGGTTGCAACCTTACCCTCGATCTCGATTTATTTCCGTTAATCATTATGAAATATTCCTATTTTCTTAAAAAATGCGTGTCACCGTGATGAATCGGTGAAAGTCTGTTTTCGTACCTATGGTTATTGTCATCGTTGTACTCCTAGCTCTAATGATCAATAGAAATTACGCTTTATAAGTGTCCTCTTTGAATCTCTTAAATTTTTCGTTTCACGTTAACATTTGGCTTGGGATTACGATTTGCCATAGTTATTTATTTTAATCTGACCACGATTTATTTAGTCACTATGTCTGTTGGGGGTGCTGGTGCTTACACAGAAAGTTCGGATGCGATCGCTGCTCAACGCGTATCGGAAAAAGGAGGTAGCAATATTATCTTCCTTTCGACAATGTCCTACGTTCTTCATTATTTCTATTAGTATATATTACGTTTTCGTTTGGCAACGACGGAAGCCAAGGTCTTCAAACAGGTGGAAATCCATCCATTTCTTCAGGCGCAATGGCCGTTGCTTCAGTAGACAACTTGCATGCGGCCCAATTCTATATGATTACCCCCAATAATGAGAGAATTTTCTACTTAGCCGGCACTGCTTTTGGTGGATGGCAATCAAATGTACTATCGAAGATCGTCGTCAATAGTAAGCTCTCTTTTTTCAATTGAATATACATTATAAGTTTTTCAAAAATCATTAGATCCACCAGATACGCCGAATGATGGTTGCCTCAGTCCAACTCTAAACGTGACGGGTGCAGTAGTTTTGTACGCTTTTAACAATGGTGACGAGTGTGGTTCCGCTGTTCGATGTAATTTAGCGGCGCAAGCTGGAGCAACGGGCTGTCTCATATACAATGTCGGTGCAATCGCAGGTCTTTTTTCTTCATCATCGTTTATTCTCAAATTGAAGTCATTTTTCAGGTTCATCCACTATCCCGAGTGGAAGCATTAGTATGGCAGATGGCTTGAAGATTATCGCAATTGTGACAAACAACCCGTCAGCTATATTTACGTTCACGAATTCGCAAGGACTTGCTCCCATTGTGAGTAAATTGAATTTTTGTCATTCCCAAAAAAATCTTACTGACTCTTCATCGAAACGTCCTAAATCTAATCAGAACCTCTTTGAATCAGTCCTGCTCTCAAGGAGTCAGTTTATATTTGTCTTATGAGGCAATAAAGAAGGTGACAACATGCTTTTAAGATCAGACTACAAGCGGTGAATAATGATATCCTAGAATCTTGGAATTCAATAGAATTTTACAGAACTCTGTGGAATCCAAGGAAATTCTGCATTCCGAATTCCACAGAATTTCAATGAATTTAGTGGCATTTCATAGAAATTCATAGAATTCCAAGATTTCAGGTGTCCGTTATTTATCCCTTTGGCATAGATACTTGCTAAAAGCTAGTGGCAAAGATGGTTTAAGTAGACGACTTAAATTCCTATCTGGCAAAGTTTCCATTTGGCATCTGGTAGAAAGCACCTCCTTATGAAGTTATCATTCTTTACGTCTTCAACATATTTTCAATTTGTTCGGCCTTCTTCAAAGTAATTACTACCACGAGTCTCTATGTGAAGAGAACGCAAGGGAATATTTGTATCAACCTAATGATTCACATTATGTAAATCACTTTGTTTTATATCAGTTTTAAGATAATATAGGAAAGCTTACCCCATGCATATTTTCCCACAGTTTTCAAGGCTTCTTCAAACTATGATTTTCTTCTTTGAAAAAATTACCGGGAAATGTGTTCTATTTTCAATCAATGTACAGTCGACAGGAGGAACCCCTTCAAGTTTCACGTCAATCGGTCTCACTGGCGACTTGCTGTTTAAACCCCAAATTAGTGGCATCGGTGGCTATGTTTACTCGACTATTTCATCCTTTGCTGCCGAGAAACAAAGAACTTCGAATGCATATGCTACCCAATCTGGTACAAGTATGGCAACGCCGTATGTTGCAGGGTAAGTATATGCTGGCGTACATAGTTTAATCCCTCAGATGTCAGATTCGCCCAGATCAATAAAGGGTTAGACGTTCAATTTTTAAGCTAATTTTGGACATATCTCAGCTTATCTGAGATAGGACACCAACACAGACAATTGTCTTTATCCCATTAATATTATAGATATATTTCGTTGACAATAGTCAGGCATATTTTATGATATTTTCCCAACATGCCGAGTGTACAGTCGTATCTTTTAACCACTCCAACACTCCAAAAAGTAATTACTTACTACTTCTCACTTTCTAGAATATTGTGAAAGTAGCCAGTAATAAACTCTTCCAGGTCTTTATCCATACCTTTCAAAAAATAAACATGTTCAAACATCAAGTCTCTTGCAGACTCAAGTACGAAAATTACGTTTTATTTCTGGCGAATGCGTACAGTACTGGCAAAAATTATCACTCTCTATTAACATACTATTAAAAGAATCAATTAAATCAACTGAGTTGCACAAGAGAAATCTGTATTAACTTTCATAAAGCACTTAGGGAACATCCTGTAGATATGTTCAATTACTTCGAAATTGATCCTATTTGTTGTTTTTTTAAAGAACTTTGGCACTCTATCTTGCACATATTGGTAATCCTGGCCCAGAAACAGTGAGTAATGGATGTCAGACAAATTGTCGTCCGTCGTTCGAAAAAGTTGTCAATTTATTCCAATCAAATGCCATGCCAGTGAATATTTACAGCACATCTCTTCTTGCCTCTGTTGCCCAACAAGGTGCCGGACTGGTCAATGTTTTCCAAGCCATCCAGGCCACGACTTCAGTTTCACCCAGTCAACTCGCATTGAATGACACACTGAGACAAGACACATCGTACACTATTGAAGTGTTTAATTTGGGCAACAAAACAGCCGTATACAATATCGCCCATTCCGGAGCTGCATTGGCTACTGGGTTACAGAAAGGAAGTGACCAGCTTTTGGGCCAACCGATCTATTCAGCTGACTATGCTGTAAGCTCTATGTGATGAATTGACGTTAAGTAGAAAGATTTGTTTCGAGAGTCTGTTGATACGGTCTTGTTGACGTTGCAGGTTTTTCTAATACGAAACTGAGTAAAATCCAAATGCAGTGGAAACTTGCTTGTATGTTGCTCAAGCATGAACGTCGCAAGCAGCGACTATAGAGTGACCCTCAGTCTTGGAAAATTTTCACTTAGCGTCAGCGGATTCCCGTTTTGCTTGATCAACAATTATCCAAAAATTTGATCGGTTTCTCGTCGACTAAAACTGGTTTACCCATTCAAGCCTGGTTGCTTCGAGATACCCTGACTTCAGACATGCCATACTAATTTTGAAAAATTTATTTTTCGAAATTGTAGATATCTGATGTCTCTAAATAGGCTTAAGCTAGGAGACTGAAGATGATTCTTTATTGTGGCCCTAGCCATGACTCCTCTTTTCTGCTACTCTCACTCAAAAATGTTCAGCTCAGTAGTATGTTTGATTTCTTTTGCTTGAATTCGCATGTTTTGCAGTTGGATTGATTGTTCTAATGAGACATATTTCGGCTGTAGTTATTCAGTCATTGAAACTGATTTGTAATTTTCCCTTCTGATGATTAGTCTATGTTTAGAAGCCAATGATTTATTGATTTAAAATATAGTCGCATTTATGACACCATTTGCATGTCACGCGTTGTGACGGCAAATGTAAAAGGATTCAAAAAACCTGACCCTTTCTATACATGCGCAATAAATAAGATGAAAAAAAATAACAAATCAAACTCTAGTAATATGGTTTTTTATATCAACTTATCTTCTGCTAGTGTTTTTATGGTTTCCACTGCTAGCATGAACATCGGTATCAATCCATTTTTACTGTTTCTGATTTGCTCTTCCCAACGCAGAGCATATCAGATCTTTCAAATTTTTACTGTATAAATTTCAGTCGTTCAAATCCATTTCTTTAGAAAAGAGGCTTATGGACTAATCAAATGGTACTAGAATTTAAATACACGTAAAAAACAGTGTCAACCAGAAGCGATAATGAACACTCAGGTCATATTCTCTATTAAAAAAGTGTCGAACAGAACCATTCTCCGGTACCATTTTATGAATCTCTTTTCAGTTCTAAACGTACTCAATAGAACCAAAACAGAGTTCTATTCGGCACCTTTTATTTACAGAGTATAGTTGCAAGAGAAAGTTATCAAAGATCATTTCATTAGAATTGAATCCCGTGTGTTTCATATAGTAAACATATATTATCTTTCTAAACATAAAAAGATTGTCGATATCCAGCCAACTACCATTGAACTTGATCCTGGAAAATCAGGTATGATTACTCTTCGATTTCAAGCACCTTGCAATGCCAACGCGGCTCTTCTTCCCATCTTCTCGGGCTTTATCAATATTACAAATAATGTGAATGACCAAGTTGCTCATATTCCATGTGAGTATTCATAACTAATAGCTATCTTTAACCGTTATTTTATGTGCAAATGTATCTCTCTGTAGATGCTGGTGTTGTTGGAGACTACAAGAATGCACGCATTCTTGTGCGAAATAGCTCGTCACGTATCGTTACTGGCATTCTAAATTCAAATAACATCTATATTTCAAATACACAACAAGAGAATCTGAACCTATCAAATGGAACCCGGGTCATACTGGTCACAGCATGGGCATCGCGCATTGTTTTCGTGGAGGCTGTCTCGGGCGAAAATCAAGTTCTACCTAGTTTAGCGACAAGGTAAAATATGATTTCATCTCATACTTTGTTACTACTACATGATTATCGGCTCGAAGTCATCAGAATATATAGGAGAAAAACTAATTTTGCTTCGTTTTTTGTGAGACTCCGCTCATGTTGGAGTGCAATAAGGCTAAATTATGTGAAGCAGTTTAAACATATGTTAGCGAAATTCCTGCAGGATTCAAGATGCAAAACATGATAACGTCGTTTTCTACAAAGCATCTACGATGGTCTATAGCGATTTCTCGGAAATCGTCTGTCATGATCTGTGTGTGTAGAGGGAGAGGAATGAGCGGCTGAACGCCAGATCCTATTCTCTACCTTAAATACTTCAAAACTCCTTTCAGATCTTGTTTCGTGAAAGCCTCAGCATTCTCCTGTTAATACTCGATCTATTTCACCAAGATACATCCACAAACGTAATCTATATAGTGTTGGACAAAAACCTGAGAATCAGGGGAAAATATTGAGCGAAAAACGATTCCACCTTTTCTCTCTTCGCTAAATGTTAAAAGAGGTCGCTTCAATGCTCGATATTGAATTGAATTCATTTCTAAACTGTCTTTTCGTGTTTATCGAAAGATATCCCGCAAAGTTTTTGGTTATCACTTGGTTGAACGATTTTTGTATAACTCTTGAAAAAGTGGTTAGGCTTGAAACAGGTTCATGAGAAATTATGCTACATGAAGATGTGTGATGATGATAGGTGAATTTTTCCTTGCAGGATTGAAAGAAAGCAGCGATGAAATTTGTGAGTAACAGTAGGAGAGAACTTTTTATCCACCTTTTAAGAAAATACTATTTCTCATCTAATTTCACCCAGATGAACTACTATTTATTCGTCAGGTGCCTTCTAAAATGTTAACGAGGTTTACCCGTAATTATGATGAATGTATGGAGTCACTATTTAAAAAATTCCTCTGTCGAATGTCTTTATCAAAAATTGATACTATAAGGTCTTGGGATTGTAGTGCGAAGAATATATAAAGTGTGTAGTTACCGATCACCTTGAAGAAGAAGGAACAAACTGATGACTGTCTCACTACTTTCGTTTTGCTTTGCACTTTCAGGTTTTAAGTAAATCAGCTCCGGTAAAGATAAACTAAATAGAAATCGAAATTTCACAAGTTTAATTCAACATTAACCTAGGAATTTGCTGGGTACGTTTCGATGAATATGAAAAGACATTTCAAAATTTAATTCGATTCGATATCGAACATTGAGACAACCTCTTCTAAAATTTAGTGAAAAGAAAAAAACTGCAGTCGTTTTCCATTTAATAGTTTTCCTTTAATCTCAGAGCTTTTAAATGCATATGAATTTAATTGACAATGGAGGTTCCCAAAATCAAACAGTCGTGTTTTACTAATCGTGGCTAGGGAATAATATCTAATCTCTTTGCAGTTACGGTTACATATACAATCAACCCAGACAAACACCAGCATTTTACATAAATCTAGTAAGAAATACAGCAATATCCTTCCGATCGTATTCACAATGGTATGAGATCACTTGGTCTGGTCTGGTTAGTAAATTTGTTTCGAATGGAAGCTCGTTATGGCTTGAAACCGCTCGTCTTCCTAATGGTCAATATAAACTTCGATTTTCGGCTCTCAAACACTTTGGAAACGAGAAGAATGCCGAAGATTATGACATCTATGAGACACCAACCTTCAATTTAATTGGCTCGTCCACGACAACTGTTTCGTCCACATCAACACCATCGTCCAACGCAACAGAGTCGTCCATTGCAACACCAATCTCGTTAAACATTCGTGAACTATTGATCTTTCTCAATCTTGCTTTCTTATTTTATTAAAATTAATAGCATATGAGGTCCTTATTCTCGCAGCATTATTGACTTGTCATTGATTGATCTTCGTAACTTGGCTACGAAAGGGTGAATGTAGCTGTGAGTGTAGGTGTGGGTGGGGTGTGGACGGAGATGGAACTGGTCTAGTCTTTCCCAGACCGGTACCAGTACCGGTAAAAACTGATCTACCGCCAAAACCCAGTCTAGCGATTAAAACCAACCTACCGATAAAAATTGACCATACGCATACCCTGATCGAATTTTTCTCCAAAAAAAAAACGATTATTTTATGTAAAGTCATTCAATTTGTTGAATCAAATAAGAATCGTTTCTTTCTATATCGTAGATTGATTAGGACGATAAAAAATTAAACAGCTCAATTTCAAACGAGACAATAAAAAAATGTAGGTATTATGTATTTCTTTTTTAATTTTAGGCATTGGACAGTGAAGAAACAGATAACAAGAGGTAAGTTATCTGGTTTTTTTTATCACTTAATATGATTTTGTTTTCTTTTCCATTTAGCCATCAATATCATCGCGTCAGGAAGAAGTTCTTTGATACAATTGACTGAGTGAGTTATACAGTATGAGTGAGATCTCTTTTATCTTATAAGGCCTTCCGAGTAAGTCCTAAAAACTCGATCAGGAACTATTTTGGTTACTATGGCACACGACTGGGCTTTCACCAGACTCACTGACAGATCTCTGATCTGGAATGCAGAATATTCATATAGAACTATGGAATTATTATGAAGTCTTTGAGGTCAACATTTATGTTGCGATGTTAGAAAATGTTGGATTGACTAACTATTAAGTGTAGTTCTTCACAAATTTCTTTTTGTTCCTTCTTTACCGACGTAGACATCAAAAATTGTCATTTTCTATCGCGACAATCTCAAGAAGTGAAAGCCAGAATATACTCGCTCAAATACATGAATAGAATTTTACGAGCAAATCGATAGCATACATTTTCAGATCTTTAATATGATATTTTAGAAAAGACATCCGTGAATACAGCTGATTACAGGTAATGAGTCATATCGATAATTGAATGATCAATCTAAAGCGTTCTTCAGAAAGATGTCGATATGCGTTCATAGAGTTCTTCCAATGATGAATTTTATCATGGCTATTTTTTCATTTAGATCATAACTGTGATCAGCTGATTGATCGAAGTGTGACTCTCTCGAGTCACCGGCGACAAAGAGAATGTTTGATTTCATTGATACATAAATATGTTTAAGAATCGAGCAATTTATGATAAATTTCGGGGACGATTATTCGTTTTACTATGAGGTACCAGTTTTTTTTCGAAACTTGAGATTCATGCTTCGTATCACATTTCGCATTCAAGTAAACCTCGAATACCATCTAACTAGTTATTAGACTATAGTCGTTTGGTCTTACATTCAAGTTGACGAATAATAGACTACATAATAGCATAATATTATTAAGGATTAATGGAACTGAATTTATGAGAAGATTGAAAGAAGACATGTGTGCACAAGAAGTGCGACATACGCTTTCAAATTTTGTATATTTCACGTAGATGATAACAAATTTATACAGAAAAACAATATCTTCATTGATTATCGACTGTGCTCATCACCAAATCCAGATGTGTTGTTTCCAATATTTGTGTTTAATGAAAGTTATTCGATGTTATAGTCTGCTTCTACATTTATATGAACATTTTTATTTTCCTCTTCTTCGTTTTCTGTCGACTTCTCGATAATTCTTTGCATTCATCATATAATCCATAGGCTCCTTCGACAAAGGATCATCGTTAATAAACTGTACCAGCATCGACGTATGAATGAGTATACTTGTTTTTCTGACTATCTCACTTGATAGTGGTCATTCTCCACACTATCACTAATTAGTTAAGAGTTGTCGACTTTTAAAATAGAATCAATTGAGCTGGATGGAGAACTCTATATTATCATAGCCCTAATACATGATAAATACCGTTTACTGCAGAAAAAAAAACTAGAAAAGTTCAAAAAAACATATAGTAAAGCTTTCTCTCGATATAAATGTTAGAAAGATGACGATTGTTACAGTTATGACTGTTGTTGATTTTGTCCTCGTATTCTTTCTTTTATAACATAATAATGATATCGAGTAAGACGATAAATCATTTCAACGAATTCCATTATTGATAAAAAACTTACACCAATCCATAAACCTGTATGACCACCGACATTTGAAAGAACATCAATACCACTAATTGATGCATCTTGTGTATAAGTTTCTATACGAGGTGTTTGACATACAACATCAACAGAAACAAAATTGTTTTCAATTTCTGATTGCCATGTTGTTGACCAATTTTTAGGTAATGGAATATTAGATGTTTCAACGAATTTTTTTATATCTGATAAACGCACATCCGATGGAGCTGATACTACCGATGGTGTAACAGTAAAATCTACAGCTGAACATGCTTGTGAACAATCTGTACAAAACTGATCCCAGATTGAATTCGTACTTCTAATACGAATTGTTGCATTGTCATAACATCGATCAGTTTTGTTACAAAGAGGTGCTACAATAATTTTATTTGTACTGGGCAAAACAATTGATTGAGCAGTCCACTGATGTGGACTTACACATCCACATTCGTGATATCTATTTAATAAAAATAAAAAAATATATATACATTTCTATTTTGATTAATTAATTATATTTACACATATGTTTGTACACATAATATATAGCATAAAATTTGTGAATAAGCATAATCGGCACCTGCATATCGGTCAAACATTGCTTTCATAGCAAGAGGAACTTTATTTGTACAATCAGAGTATGGAGATGGCAATAATTGATGTGTTTTCTTTTTATAACTTAACTTATGTTTTAGTCCTGTTTTCAGCAGAATACCAGCTACGTCAATGAGTGGTAATTCTGTATTATCATGAATCATGGCCACCATACCAACTGATACTTCTTTAAAAGAAGAAAAAAAAAATTTTTTTTTCATAAAATTGTATTCCTCACTTTACCTTTTGCAGCATATGGAACATATTGATGACTGTGTGCATAGAGTTGTAATTCAAGTTTACCTGTACCTATATTATCAGTGTTATTCCGAATACTACTTCGGTTTGACGCCATTTTAGCATTGAATGTGTAGCAAAGACCAAAAGAAGATGATAAAAATTGAATAAAATCAGTAGTTTGACAAGCTTGGTTGTTGTATGAACAAGAAATTAACATTGAACTCAGGGGAAAAAAATAATTGTCTATGGGTTGATGATTATTCAATAAATATTGAAAAAAATCACGAATATAATTGTTTTGTTCGGCAGTAATAGTCCTTGTATCATTAGTATTAGTAATATTCCAGAAATTAGTAAAATTTAAAAAAGGTTCAATAAAAGTATCAAAACGAACCGGTGAATAATTGCAAATACTAACTGCTGGAAATGCTTGAGAACGTAGAACAATAATGGATACTGATGTTTGTGTTGGATAAGTAAAATATTTTTCTATCGATTCAACAATAAAATATAACATGATACCAGTAAAAGCAATTGTTGAAATTGTCCAGAAAATCCGATTTTGTATACTTTCACTACGTGCAATACCTGGAATACCTTGAGTTGAAGTATTAAGACTAAACTCACGAATAATAGAACGACGTCGACGAAATTTTCTATCTAATTTTAATGCTTCAGCATTGATTGGGAAAACAGTAGCTATATGTTTAACAGTTGTATCTGTCATTGTTTAATTGATAGTGTAGTTTGTTGTCCTTATTTCAGTCTATATATATATATATATCATAATGATTATTTGGAGAGTAAGAAAAATATGTTCATATATTATTCAAATGAAATAAAATATTTAATCATGTCTTGTTAATTTTAAATAAATAAAAAAAATTTTCCAGGTAGGATATTATTAAAAATGACATAAATAATTTGTTTTACTCGATTAATAGGTATCTAATTCATTGAATTTTTATAGTTTTTTTAAAATGTTTTATTATGAACTACGCATATATGATTTGTTCTTGTCTTTTGCGATCGTCCATTGGAAAGGTCATTATTAGTTGGTGTTCATATATTTTAATTCTGCAAATTAACAAAAAAATTACAATTTTAATAGTGTTTATTCAACGGTTCAAATAAATTTATTTTTTTAATATTTGTATATCATTCCTTCCAAGGATTGTAATTAGAAGTGCTGAGTTTATTAGAAATAAATGTAAGTTCTTCCAGATTTCTGACTAACAACACTATTTGTAGAAAATAATTTATTTGAATCCATTTTCATACATAACTAAACAAAGAATGTAACTTAACTAACGATTAAGTAATTTTATGCTTTCTTTTTCAGGGAGAGGTAGTCAAATGAGAATAGAAAACATCTCGTTGGATGTTGGTGTCAATATCAGTAATCATTCCATCCAACTCACCCACACACACATTGCGTGATATCAAAGTGAGCTGATAAAATACAATTAAGTGTAGTATGATGATTTTTGATTTAATAGAATAGTCCGGTGCATGTCTCTTGACAGCAATAGACTTCGATCACAGTAAAAAGCATTTGATTTGCGAAAAATGCGCTCTTATGATTATTTTTTTTTTCAAAAAAAAGCATGCAAAAACTCAACAGAAACCAGACCAGTCGTTTACCGTTTTTGGTTGCAAGTCTATCAGTAGTCACCTCCGTCTTTCTTCTGGAAACCTTTTGGGGAAAGTTTTCAAGCTACAACATGCTCGTAAAAAATCTCTTTTTGTTGTCGAACACAGCACCTTGGATTTTTCTTCCAACCACGTGATGGTAGTCGATAAGGAAAGAAGAAGAATTCGTGCTTTTTTTCTTCATCTACTACAGAATGAAACATGATTGCACAACATATTTCGTTTGAGTGAGTTAAGAAGGTAGTACACGGTAGGTGTAAGATCACAAAATGCTGTTGTCTATCGAACATTTGCCTGCTGAAGTGTGGCTTTTCATTTTCTCATTTATTGAGGCGCACGACTTGCAGAGAGCATTTTCCCACCTCAATTCCTTCATCACTGGTCTACTTCATTCACCTCACCTTCGTGTTTGCTTGAGTGTAACAAGAGGTGGATGCAAAGAGTTACGTCCATCTCGTATTCTCTTTTGCCATGAAGCAATTGAGATATTGCGTGCCAATATCTATGGTTCTTCCGATGTTCTTATCTTTTTTGATACCCCTCGCACATTTTCTGGTCTTCGTTCACTCTCACTCGATATAAGACAACAAAAAAAATGTCGCCTCTTGGTTTCTATCCTACCTCGACTTCCGTGTCTCGAACATTTAACAGTTTCTTGCAGTATGTTCAGTGTTGATTCTGCCATGGTACCTCTTTACACGGAAATACTAAAACTTCCACGATTAAGAATGTGTGAACTCACACTGTCACGAGACAGTTTCTTCATACCTGGATTCTATCCAAATTTGCCGATTAGCAGTTCTATACGACGCTTTCATATAGATGCTTGGATTCGATCTGCTGATCTGTGCCATCTGCTCAAATTCATGCCTTCATTACGCTTTCTAAATGTCTATCTTTATCACCACAATAGG